TATTAAAAGTGGGTGCAAGCGTTGTACAAATAGTTTTATAATATTTTTTAAATTTAGGTTTTAATCTTCCGTATTTGTATACTTTGTAAAGTTAATGTTTGTTGTTATCATACTATACCTATGTAAGTTTCCGTTTTTGCAATTTTTCAATATTGTATTAAATCATATACAATATACTCATAGGGATCAAGGCCGTTAACTTTTTCTGAATAAACAAATTTCCTTTTTAACATTATAAATATGAAAGCGACAACGTCTTGTTTTGAAAATACGGAGCAAATGGAAAACGGTGCAAAAACACGGTAACGGTACCTATACAAATTTTTTCGAGGAAAACGTCTCCGGCCGCCTTGTGGGTAGGCGTACGTCAAGAGATTAAATAAATAGCACACATACGCGCACGCACGCGACGACCGTGGGAGCCGAATCGTAATAAAATAATAACAATAATAATAATATAATCGACGCGGACGAGGACGCGAAAAGCCGTCGTCTACAAAAGGTAAAAACTCGGGGGGAGCGCGTGCGCGTCTGTTATAATGATAATAATAATAATAATAATATGCGTATACCTACCACCGCGGACAATGACGATAATATAATATACGCACGCACACCCGTGTGTATGTGTGTGTGTGTGTGTGTGTGTGTGTGTGTGTGTGTGTGTGTGTGTGTGTGTGTGTGTGTGGAAGCGCGCGCCGCCGTACCTCTAAATTAGCGCGTGGCAGGTGTGCGCGCGTGTTGTGCACGTCTACTGTTTCACCGTGGTCGGAGGACGAGGCGGCGCCCCTCTCGCGGGCATGCCCATAATATATTATTGTTGTTGTTGTGTGCGTGTCCCGCGCGCTGCACAACCGGCGGTGCGCGCACTGTGGGAATGCGACCAAGATTCCCACGGGCGCCCCGTCACACGCCGCCGCAGCACACTTCCCGCCGCCGCCGACCCGGCACGGTCGTCCATATAAAACCGGCCGTGCCCTTGGGTCATGCCGTCATTCGAACGATCCGTACCGAACCGTCAACACTCGCCATCCGTCCGTCGTTCGTCTTCCACTGTTTACGTATCGTCATTGCGAGTTCCAATATATATTATTAAATTATTATTATTGCTATATAATAGTAATTATATTATAATCGTCTCACCGTTGTTTGACTTGTGTCTGTGTGAATGTGTTTATGCACGATATTGCAGATAAAATTATAATAATTATTGACAAAAAAAAAAAATACATCGTTTTTTAAGTGTCGTTTCGAATAGTGTCGTATATTTCATTATAATAAAATACACTAAGATTGTTTCGACATGCGTCCAGTCGCCGAACTTAGACCGTCATACCGAGTGCAGATGCATATGCAGATGCAACAGCAACAGCAACATTACCAGCATCAGAACCAGCACCAGTCTGGATCCGAATACGATGAACAACCCGTGTCCCGGACTTATCAATACAGAAAGGTAAGCACGGATCACAATTATATTATTTAAAAATGTTTTTGGTTTTCGCCAAATATACGTTTTTTTTTTTTTTAATCAAACGCGACCAGGTATCAATAAAACAATATTATAAAATACGGACAACATATCCGTATTACATCATATTATATTATACACCTARTTTCSGTTTTTAATAAATACGTTTTGTTGTCCATCAGGTTATGAAACCACTATTGGAACGAAAACGCCGCGCCCGGATCAACCGATGTCTGGACGAGCTCAAGGACCTGATGGTTGTCACGCTACAGGCCGAGGGCGAGAACGTCAGCAAACTAGAGAAGGCTGACATATTGGAGCTGACSGTCCGGCACCTGCACAAGCTCAAGCGACACAACGCTCTCGGGCTGACCGGCGTCGACTCGGTGTACGCCGACAAGTTTCGCGCCGGTTTCGCGCACTGCGCCACCGAGGTATCCAACTACCTGACATCGGACGTCCGGTCACCRCCCGTCGATCCGTCCGCCGGCGTCAAGCTCCTTCACCATTTGGGCGCTTGCATGCGCAAAATCGATGTCGACTCCAACCGTCCCGCTTCCGGTACTGTCGCCACAGCCGCCGCCGACCAGTACAGGCCATACACGCCGCCGTCCACACCCGGAAGCGAGCTCAAAGAAGATCCGAATTCAGTCTGCTGGAGACCGTGGTAAACGCACTAGGTGTTCCTTATTTTCGGGCCGAAAAGAAACATGTCGTTATTTCGTTTTTAATCCTTTGAACCCTCCCCCCTCACATCCACCATGGCCCCAGACTAAGACTGATGTTCGATCCTAGGTGGAGATATTGTATATTATTTATAGGTAGTTATATTTTATATAGGAATTATTATAATATTATTGTATTATTGTGATGCGTATACGACGATATAGTTTGTTATTCGCTCATTATATTATTATTTTTTTCTCGAGATAGTATTTTATGTTGTAATTTTTTTTCTCTTATTCGATGACGACCATAATTCCATCCTGGTATAAAATGTATAATGGTTGCARAGGATATGGCACTACAGCTATTTACCAAAAAATTCAAAAATACCTCTTTCTTTGTACTTATATATGTATATTGTGTTATTATATATTATATATTATATATATATATTATAACATCGAAATAGGATTTAAGACATTTTTTGATTGTGTAATAATATTATTATTAAAAAAAAAAAAATGTATTCTGCATACGTGACAYATGATATATTAATAATCGTAAAAAAAATTAAAACATGTATTATGATGTTATGTAGAAATTCTGCGTTTGTGCGGAAAATTTAAGAAAAAAAGCATATCTGTGATAATAATAGTAATATGAGGTGTTTTACTAGAATACATTAAGTCTATTCAAACATCTTAAACGTTTTGTTGTTTTTTATTCTCCTCCTCCTGTCCCAAAAAAAGAAAAAGAAAAATCGATCAATCAATCAATTTGCTGTCGTCGAAACGATATTATCATGCCCCGGACCGCCGACGATAAGTCAATTTGTGCTCGTACGTGACTAAACCGTTCGGTTCTGGGAACCGGCCGAAAGAGGAACGGTGAGAGAGAGAGAGAGTAAAATAGAAGAGAGAAAAAAAAAGCGATGAAAAAACTATTCTCTAAATACAGGTAACGACACGGTATAGGTATACATGACTAGTGGCAGTCTACACGTAGGAAACAATATAATAATAATAATAATATACGAAAACACGACGACGGGACTATTATAACAGCTATAATAGTAGTAGTAATAATAATAATATGACGATTCACCGCCGGGGCCGGTATTGTTCGGACGACGAAGACGATGACGACGACTACGATGAAGCCAAGTTCTCACGGTGTGCCGGACCGGTGCGGTGGCGCGCAGAAACCGTGACCGATTATATGCGGGCATACACACACACACGCGCGCGCTCGCGATCACAAATTTACACGAAAACACGCACGCACAAAAAATACACAATCCGATACGTGTGTCGTGACGAGCGGGCGCGCGCGTGTGTGTGTGTGTCCTCACATATGATAATAATATAATATTTTTATTATTATTATTACGTGTTTGTATTGGAGTTATTGGTTCCGGTATTTACGATCCGCGTCCGTGTGCGTCCGTGTGCCTTGGTGTGTGCRACGATCGCCGCGGTGTGTTCACGTCCGTATGCGGCGCGCCGTACGTGACCGGCGATCCCATCGCACGCACACTAATCGCGCCGACCGCACCGGACGATACACGAAAAAATACGCGTCGTCCTCTGTGTTTGTGTGTGTACACTATATATTATTATTATTATTATTGTTACGCAGGCACGAAGATGATAAAATAAATATTACACTTCGACTGCCGTACGTACATAACATAATAATATAATGTATGATGTGTATGGTTTTTACGACTTGATTAGGACTCGGGAAGAGCACTGAAGCGTATAACATACTTAATATTATAATAATATTATCGACACTTCTTTTTTTAAATTCCGTTTTTTTATGTGTAACGATTTTGTCACACGCGACGACGTCGCTCGTAGGTGTCGCTGTTATTGTAATTATGATTTATTATACAATAGTATCTATATTATTCGGATGTAGAGGCCAGAGGGTGACCGGATAAGACAAAAAATCAATTTACCGATTTAATAGTTGGTCTTCGTACTTATTGTCTACGGTTTATTTCCGTGGGGTTCGTTTCGAGTGGCTTAAACTCTGTTTTCAAAGTTTTTCGTTCATMGGGCAAAGGATCATCAATTATTTTATATTAATAATTAATGAAATAATAATCATAGTTCATAATTACTCGTAGGATTTTAAGACTCCTCTTGGGTTTTGATCGGACTATATGAGCAAGTAAAACGATAGCCAGATATTTTATCTTAAGTTTTAAAATTAGTAAATTTTTAAATATATCTTTTGGTTCCATGATGGTCGGCCCTAAGAGCCGTGGCTCTCTCCCATAAACGAATTCTTAAAAACAAAATAATTA